ATGGAATCCATTTTTCTATTAAAGATTTCAATCTCAAATGATTTTGGTACAGTTATTTTTAGTGTGAGTAAATGTTTTCGAATGCCAAGGTAGTTCTTAATTCGGTTATTTTGAAAATAGCCCAGATGGTATTTAACTCTGCTGTTTTTGACAAGCTAAATTTAGAAACCTACAGTATATGTGTGCTTTGTGCTCAAATATATCTTCTCCTTCGAGAGATTTTTAAAATTTGTCAGCTGATGACATTTTGTCGTAGCCACGCGATGTATTGAAATGCATTTACAGTTATGTCGCGAAATGCTTTGAAATACATTTCGCGACGCTCATGCATTGAATTTCGAGGGCGCGGAAATGCATTTCAATACATATTTTCGCTACATGAATTAGAAATCTGAAAATAAGACACTCCGAACCTCTTTATCACGAACAAGATAAGTTCCAAGTGCCAGTTTTGGCATTAATTCACCATTATTGAGTTTGAACATTATTAGCTGACTTAAAAAATCCTGCTTGCAAAGTTGCTATATGAAGTTGAATTGAAGCGAAAATGAGAAACGAGTGAATGAAAAAAGATGCCTGGAAAAATCACAGGTCTTGTCTCCATGGAGACGGTTTGAAAAAACAGATAAGCATGAGAAAATATGATAATTTTATTCTCACGAAGCAGTATGAGTTGGGGGAGTGTATGTGAATTTTTCGAGGGTGCAAGAAAAGTACAAGTAATCACATGTGTGATGAATCAAAAGGCACTTAGGAGATGTAATAAGGGTGGTAACCGTGCTATTAGGGGATTACGAAGATGGTCCTGCCTCGTCGATGTGCATCTCTTCTTCTGGGAGAGCCATGATTTCCTTTAGATGAGAGTCGATTTCATGAGATTGAAGGAATGGAGTTGAAGTGCCGTTTCCGAATTCCAAACGAGAAGTTTTGAAATTGATGCAGCATCCGTGCTTGCGGAGCACATTGAGTCCGATGAGCAAGTCCATCTCTCGGCGGTTCATCACTTCGAATGGGCACGAGAAGTGAGCGTCTTCGACTTTCACGTCGCACAAATGAATTTTTCCCTCGATCTTCTCTAGTCCACCGACTCCACGAGCCATCGACTGGAACCGCCGATCGATCAAGCCATTGAGATTGCAACGTTCGGCACAAGCCATCGACATAATTGACTTTTGAGCTCCGGAATCGATGAAAGCTTTGACTGGAACTCCGTTAATTGTCAAGTTGATATAGAGCATAGTTACAGCGATCATGTCTTCTGGATGATGAGTCATCGACTGAAAATAATACGTAATTAGTTTAGAAAACTTATTTAACAGCTTACATGAACATACTGCTCATTGATCAATTCCTTGTTGCGTCTAGCTTCCAAGAACATTTTTGCTTCCGCGGAGTTTGGGTTGTTCTGAATGATTTCCTCTTTATGAACCTCCTCTTCAATGTATGAACGGAAAAATGCCTCGAATTCTTCTGAAAATAAAACGAAATTAAATTTTAAAATACAAAGAATAGACTCACTGTATGTCTGGTCCTTATTCTGAGTAAACCGTTCAACGAGATCCGGAAGTTGAAATGCGAGCTTATGTGCCTCATTTTTCAATCGGAAGAACATGTTTTCTGTCAGAGCTTTGAGCATAGATGGCTTCTCCAGAACTTTCCGAGAGAACATTGTTTTAATCGATCCATCATCGCCGTCGTCAGCCTGTTGTGAAGTACGAGCATTTTGATTCGATGATGATGAAGGAGCTGTGGTTTTTGCTTGATTAAAAAGGTTCGAAGCAGCAGAAGCGAACTGGGTTATAAGTCGGACTTGTGCTGGAACGATAGACCGGATGTCTCCAGACGGGCATGGGAAGGAAGTTGTGTAGACGTAGATCATAGAGAGGGAATTGACTCCGAGTTGTTCCAAAGTGGTTGCCGGCCCGTTTCCGTTTCCCTCCGTAACGTCATACACGATAGCCATATCCTTCCAAACCAGAATAGCATCGCTGTGAAGATCTCCAATCTAAAAATATAATTTTGCACATTTTTAAATAAGAGTATTCAGGCTAACCGTCGTGCTTGGTGTCACAGTTATCTTCTGCAGTGGCGCATCATTGACAGCAACACTCACTTGAAAAGACATCTGAAATTGAAAATTGTATATGATAAACATCTTTTAAGAGTTAGAGCAACGTTACGGATGAATGATTCGGACCTATTCTATCAAAATCGTAAAAAGTGATACAAATCGACCTTAATTTATAGGGTTAGCAACGAAGGAATGCGTTTTTATACATTTTGTGGCACAAAGCTGTGAGGATGAAAAGCTATTTCGTAAGATTCAGAGACGTCAGATCAGCTGACACATGAAAGTACAAGATTTTCGCTTGAAAAATCTGAAGATCCTTGTGAAAAATTCAAAAAGGGTGCACAACGATGACAAAAAAGATCCCTTTCACTAATAGCAAACGCGCTCTGTTGAAATTATGAAATTCGAGGCGAAAAACGGAGGGAAACAGGAAAATTTAAAAATCAATAATAAGGTTGAGATTCAAGAGAAAAGAACAAGAATAAAAACAAAGAGACAACGTTGATGATGATCAGAATGGTGTATTTGATGCGTCTTTCTCGAGGTCCGCACAACGACGTGCTGCGGCGCGTACTGCGTACGCGGTTCAGTGCACCATTGCGACCCAATAAGATCCGCTATTGACTAGGAACATCGCCAAAAATTCAATAAGACAAAAAATTGTTTATTAACCCGTAAAATTAGAAAGACTAGCAATAATCATAGAAACTTGTTTAACAATACGACTAGAAAGACTGGGTGATAAATCGAATTTAAAAAATTCGCCAAAGGATTCAGCTTCTTTCAAGAAGAAACTCCATCCTTCAACATAACGATAATGTCGGACGACTGCAATTTTAGGTTCAATCAATTCAACAATAAATTTAGGGTCCGAGAATTTTTGAACTCCATGAACACCCATTGAATCTACATTTTCCGGTCGAATTATGGATTTTGTAGTATGATTTTGTGGTGCCACGTGGCTGGTATTGTGCCAGACGATCATCGGAAGATTCTTAATTTGTGGAGGTCCTGGAGAAACATCAGAGTAGCGGAGAGTCCATTGACAACGGAAGCGAAGCTCAGAGATTTTCGAATTTCGACGTTTTCTGAATATTAGGATATTGAAACATTTAAATATTTTTTTCAAACCTTGTAAGACTTAAAAGCGTCGAATCTTCATCAATAGGCATAATTCTTTCATCCAGGTCTACTGTAACCACCCATTCTGCTTTATATTGGTTCCGGAATACACAATCCTAAATTTCAATTAGAAAATAAATATGAATCAGTTAAAAAACCTGTAACTGCATTTCATGTCGACATCGATGTCGATTCAAGCATTTAGTTTCATTTCCAATTCGGATAATTTCCATATTAGTGGAAGAAGAAGAATTCCTATAAAAGTTAAGCAGATGCTCAGTTTCTTGTGTGGACTGGAATGAGTAGATAAGAAAATTATCAGCTCCCTGTAAAAAAAACAAAAACCACTACTCAAATTCCTGATTCCAAAACACACCTGCAGTTTGTAGTATTCGATGAATTCGATCAACATCAAAACTTTTGGAGATTCCCCGAAAAGCGGCGCGAGACAGACAGTCAATTCCGATTTCTTCTGACTTGTTGTTGTTTTTGTTTCTTGTGATAACATCCTTTTCATGTTCCTTGGAATATCCTTTTTGTTGATTGTAACTGCTACGTACGCAGGTCGAAGAGATGCATCTTCTGAGCACTTTATCGTGAATTCCGGGAATACTGATACGGCTTTTTGATAGATTTCTTTTTTGTTTGCATCGAATAGACGACAGTAAACACGACGGCTGGAATCAAGTAGATTTCGGTGGGGAAAAGGTGAATGTTTGGTTTACTTCAAATAGCCATACGAAGAAAGGATTACTGTAGTTCCTTTTGGTCCAGTGAATGAGGAAAATATCGTGAGGTTATCCGCATTTGAGTACCCAATAAGGACTGATTTGGAGATAATGTTGTCAGGTTTCGGTTTTAGTTTGGATTTGGTGGTCTGTTCAACACTTATCAGTTCCACTGATTTTAGAACTTCTGAAAATTATAACTTCACAGTTCTGAAAATTTCAAGCTTCACTATAATAGGATTCTTGAAAACACCCTTCTGTTGTTAAGGTCCAAAGTTCTCAAATCTTTTGGTTTCTGGGCCCAGAAAGCAGTCCAAAGTGATCCCCTTTTAAAAAAAATTCAGATGAGGGGTGTACGGTCACACTGGTTTCGACCGTTCGAATTGGTACACTTGGGGTATGTGGGTGTCACTCTGGACTGCGTTCTAGACCCAGAAATGCAGGATTTGGGAACTTTGGAAGTACCATTATAAATCCAGCTTCCTGGTTCCCAATAATACAGTAGTTTCAAAAAACACCCACCATACTCTTCATCCAGATAATCCTCTTCATTTATTGACAGAAAATTGCCAATGTAGAAACAAAAGAACGGTAGAAAAACTAAAAATCCGATTAGAAAAGTTAAAAACTTTATACGGATTCGCATAGTTAATGAGAAAAAGTCGGAGAGAGACAGGAAACAAGAGAGAAACAGAGAACATCGGAACGTCGACGATTGACCCAAATTGGTCGGTTTGATCGGGAGACAAAGAAAAAGATGGATAAAAAGTGTTGGATGCATGCAAAGAAAAGAAAAATGATAAGCAAAGAAAGTGAGATGAAGAAATGATAAAAAATGATTTTTGAAGATTTTGTTGCACCGTCCTTATTCCGATACAGAATGCTGAACGGATTTTGGATGTCGTCTTTCGAAGTGAGATGTTAAGAAAGTGTCATTGAGAAAGACTTTTCCACAGTCGGCACACTGAAACTTAAAATAAATAACTTAAAATTCATCAAGTATCAAAACGAATCTTACCTTAAATTTCTCCGAGTTCTCTATTGATCCTCCTGAAGTTTTGCTTTCCTCAGAAATCATATTCTTCTTCTTCAACACTTTTGCCTCGTTTTCAGATTCCAACTTCTCCATGTGTTTCAAAAGTTCCTGTTGAGATCTCTGAAAAAATAAAATTATTTCTAATTTTCAAAAATAAACGAAGTGTTACCAATAAATGCTCAATTTGGAGTTGTGCAATCCTCAACACTTTCCAGTAACGATCATTCAATTTTTCTTCGTCTTGACTGATGGAAAGTATCGTTGGAAGGGCTGCTTGGAGTACTGGAAGTGTGCCAACGCCCGTTTCGAGTAGAGGGATTGAGATTTCGTCTGGAAAATTGTGGAATTGAAAACTAAAAGCTTTGATAATCCAATTGGACTAAAATAAGTCTAGATACTTATCAAATCGTTCTGAAACAGTGTGAAAAAGATCGTAAAGCCTGTAAAAGAAAAGCATCAGACTGTCAAGTTTGAGCTTATTTATCTCAATTCCACTGCAAAATATCAAAAATATGTCAACTAATTAAGTGTTTCTAATTTTATGATTAACAATTTGTTAGTGGATAGCTTTATTGTATCTTTGACAGGAACCGAGATATATTGACTCAAAGCTAAAAGTTAGGCGCTCTTTTATTACAGGACAGTACTTGTGTTTACAGGACAGTACTCAGTGTTTTGGTAAACTTGATAGGGGTTCAAAAAAACAAACAAACCAATAAGTGCCCAATTCGGCAGATTGCTTGTGATTGCAATTGCAGTGGCCATTGCTTGTCCCTCGGTCATTTCGATTCTCTGAAAAAATTTGAAATATATCTAGTTTCAAGAAATGTTCCAGGACAGGGCATGCAGAACGGAATTTCGGTTTTCTGAAACGCCGAAATTCACAAAAATCTGAAAATACTGAATTTCCAAAAAGTCGATTATTCAAAAATTCCAAATGTTCGTTGAAATTATATCCGAACAATCTTTTACGATAGGAATTGGTTTTTCTAATATTCTCGGAAATTTAGACTTTATTCCGAAAATCCATTCCGCACACCCCTGCTTCAGGAGATAATCAAAAGTAGATGAAAACAGAACACAATCATAAATTGAAAATATTTTTTATCCTGTGGTTCATGGCTATGTTATAAATGTTCTGAAAATGTTTAGCTTAAAGTTATTCTATGTGAACTCACAAAAGAATAAAACAACAGAACTCTGTAAGAAATAACTCATACAAGTTCTGAAATTCAGAATGCTTGTGAAGAAAACCGAACTCCTCCCTACTGTAGTTTGCACCTTCACAGACCACACCTCAAAATACTTGGGAATGCTTATGTTTTCCAAGCATTCAGAGATCGTAAGAAGCTCCGCCCCTTTAAGAGTCGAAAAACCTTATTTCAAATGAAAGCTAAAACACAACCCGATTCTATCCATTTCTCTTTCTCTCCTCCCACTTTTTGCCTATATTAAAACTGCAGAAGGACAGAGAACCACTCAAGGGCTTCTCTGTAAAGGCGGTACCCCCTGTTGCCGAATCGAACATTCATTCTCTTCTGCTGTCCTATTTCAGAGAAAACCCAAGGGGCGAGAGAGTGTATGAGACAGAGAAATGAGGAGGACAATTCTCAGAAATGCTTGAAAAGTGAGGAAAGAAGAAGAAGAGAGAAAAAGAGAGGAGGCTCATGGCTATCCGGAGATGATGGCTGGGAAAACAACGAACGAAAAAAGGAAGAAGAAGTACCGAGAATAGAAGGATTCGTAGAATCAAAATGTGTATGTGTGGCCAGGAGGGTGCACAGAATTGGATTGGAAGTGTTCGAGTGAAAACATGAACGAGGAACAAAAAATAGGAAAAAGGAGAAATGGTTTGTGGCTGCTGAAACATAATCGGTGTGGAAAAGGAGAAGAGGGAGGGGAGGAGCTTGATGAAGTCAGCATTGGGGTGTTTCTGAGAATCAGTTCCGTTAAATGTTTCTGAGAATTTCAATTTAAAAAGAAAAGAGTGGCGTGAATCAGCTTTTTTAGCTCAAACAACTAGAATGAAAATAAAAGGAAAGCAAGAAGGAAATTCAAATTAAGAAAGTTAGCAGATCAACTGGAAAAAAATGCTTCAGGAAAAAACTTTCCAGAATTGAGATAGAGAGAAAAGGTCTAATCCGGTGAGTAAAAATTAGGATTGAGATACCATAATCGTGATGCTCGAGATAATGTGGAACTGGAAAAAACAGACTTTAAGAAATGTGACTATCCAAGTTCTTCCACAATATCAACAAATGTTTCTATATCGAAAATTAAACCCTTCTATTCAAATCTTAAAAGAATATTCATCGGAAAACTACGAAAAAATTTATACTGAAAATTTCAGTGGAATACCGTATTTCCTCGAATAGAAGCCCACCTAAACTTTGAGCTGAATTATCTCAATTCCTGGGAAATATTTCAAAACCTTGTCAATTGATAAATTATTCATCATAAAATCACAAACACTTTGTTAGTAGACAAATTTTTGATATCTGTCACAGGGATCGAGATAATTGAGCTCAAACTTAACAGTGTAGAGGAAATACGGTACCAGAAAGCTCCGCCTACTTTTCTGATAATGCGCAGATTTTTTTTCCAGTCTATAAAGTTATTTGTTTTTGGTCCTGCTTTACCACAATTCCCGATTTGGCGAAATCTCGGAACGATACATAGAATTGATATGATTTCTATATATTTACACCCACAACCATAAATAAACTCAATTTCTTATTATTTTTAGTTCAATAAGCTTGGGGCGAAGAAAAACCGGGAAGTCTTTTTCAGTTCGTTCCAAAGAACAAGAACTAGAGGGGGATTCTTCGAACCGGTATAATTGGGATTATTTCAGCGGATACCACGACTTTTGTGGTTATTTCGAGCCTTGTTTCTGATTATTTTTAGATGAGAAGAAGAGGATTGTAATCTCAGACCAAATGAACAAAAAATTACCGGTGAGGTCAAGACACGAATATTCTGGTTTCTGGTTTAAGACTTGAAAATGTTAAAAAAATAAGTAAAATTAATAAATCGAACCGAAATATTACAAAAAGAATTCGGGGAATCCATTAATATGGTTGTCATGACAGCACCCAGGTGGTCAAGGAGTGACCAGAAGGCCAACGAGAGAGCATGAGGGAAAAGGAGACGCAGATAAACATGGAGAGGCAGCAACTAATTCTGGGGTTAGGTCAAGCGACGACAGATGTTTACGTTCCGAGAAGAATAAAAGAGAAGACGTCTGCTCCGGGTTTCTTGGAATTCGCCTCTGCAGTCGTCTAGTGAGAGAGAGTTCTAAGCTATCATTTTCTTAGGAACGTCTTTTTTGCCGTTGCAGTCGGAATAATGAGAATGCACTCTCTGAATAATTTCTTTCTTTTTGTATTCGCAGTATACTTGCCTAAACTACTGAGAATTGAAAAATCAGGAGATTTATATATTTATTTGGGTGTATTTTAGTTTTCCCAGAATTCGGAATATTCTAGCACATTCTGATGACGTTTAAAAAATTTTTATTCATAGAATTTTCAAAAAAAAAGAGAGTTAAATCAACATTTCATGGGAAAAATGAATGGAGGTCATGAGTTGGCACTTTATAGTGAAGAATATTCAAAGGAGAATCGGGAATAGGGGGCATAAAATATAGGTTATTTTCTCATTAGAAAAACCAAAAAACCGGAAATCTATCAGTCAATATTTTAGAGTGTGAATTGAAAGAAAAATGGGAGAAATATGGAAAAACTGGGTTTCAGATGGAAAAAAGGATAAAGTTATACAATGAACAAAAGTTTCAGACGATTTCGGAGCGACTCGGTCGGACTGGGACATCACTTGCGAAACTGGAATCGTCTCTTTCATTGGGACTCGGTCCAACTGGCGAGTACGTTGGTTTAGCTGATCCTTTCATTGCTGATCCTGAAAATTATAAAGTCTGGAAGGTTCTGAAACTGTCTTAAGAACCCAAAAATACATACCATCACCTCCAACCTCATGCTTTCTGGCAGGGAAAAAGAGAGAAACCGATACAAGAGACAAACATAGAAAAGAAGGGTTCAGGGTCTTACCAGTAATATTGAAAGACTTCGAGGTTGGTAGGTGATGTTGATGATGGAGATCGGGAGAAAGGAGAAGACATGGGGACAATTTTAGACAGAGGTGAACAACGGATCGTCTACAAATATCGCGGAGGATGACGATGTGAAATAAAAATTGTTCAATGGAAAGTTTTTGACTTCTGATTCTTCTCAAAAAATATCCTATTTGGATACTCGCTCAACATATCCATTCTGATCCTCTATTTCCTATCGATATCTTTCTAGAACTCACTAATGGGTCTTGAATCCTGTGGTGGGAGCATTGCCCTTCTGGAACCATCTATAGAGTCTTGTCTAAAAGCAGCTGCTTCTCTGGTCGGCTTACTGTGGAGTGGCTCACGATCGCTTGATGTTCTTTGGAAAGTGATCATTTCCTTCTCCACTGGAGCGCGTCTGTTTCTGGAATGTAAGAATGGTTTACTAGAAATGGGACTTCTTTGTTTCTACCTGACACATGTGAACACCAACAAAGCACAAAGAAGAAGAAGACAAATGAATGCGAAAATGGCAAGAATTATAGTAGCGGTTTGCCATCCACTTCCGACGAGTCCCTATAATGTTAAAACAGTTTCAAGTTTATTAGAAGATTGAGATGAATTTATCAAAGAAGATCAATCTGAGTCTTTGAGTCTTTACATAATTTTTCAAATCTTTTCTGCCTTCGGATCGGAACGTTTTACTATTTTCTCTTTTTATTTCAGCGAATTTTCATTTTCATCTTATGGGCTTCAAAATGAGTATAATCATGCCTAGATTTTTTCAGTATCCCTTTTTGCGTCGCGTTCGTGCGGCGCAGTTCGTAGGTCAAGATTAAAGCTTGAGCAAAATAGATGAAGAAAAAACTCTCAGCTTCTCTTGGATCCATGACACTTCCGTTGTCATCCCGACAATACGTGCCGTCTCTGATTCCCCATGGACAGTTCTTGCAGTTGTCGACTTGTCCATTCGAAATATAATTACAAACTGAGAAGAATCCAGTGGAGTTTGATACGCATGCAGCTGTGTTGGCATTGACATGAGATGCCTTACAGGTTAAATCGCAATTTGGTCCGATGAGATTTCCGGAACAGGAGATTGAGAACGACATTGAGAGACTGAATTTAGTTGTTTAAAGTAGCGAAATCTTCGGAAGTAATCTCACCTTGTTCCCAGAAGTTTTCCTTGATACGTCCTCTGCTGATTCATATTCTGAACTCCTTCCACTGCAGGAAGTGTTTCGGAAAGTGGAACAACAAAAGTGTCGACATGAGTCAGAGTATCATCCTGAACTAATTGCCCTTGTTGAGTGATAACTGCTCCCAAATGATGAGCAAATACATCGATGGCAGCCTGAAAAGACTATAAATAGCATTTGAAACTTGCCGTAAAAAGACTCACTGGTTTCGATGGCAAATTCATCACATAATTTTGGCTCCACTGTCCTTGAGAAGATTGTGGAAGCTGACCGTTTGTATCAAGATAGAAGAAGTCAGTGATTTGGTAACGTACACTTTCACTGAAATTTCTTTTTCAATTTTTTCAAGTTGATCTCAAAAATAACTCACTCAGGAGATGAAACGATGAAGGTGAAAGCGAAATAACATCTTGGAGGAGTTTTCAAGAAAGCACAGGTGTGTCCATTTGGACAGGTACAGGTTTGACTATTTGGGAGGGCAGATGATGGGTTGGAATATCCCCGAAGTTGGAATTGAATTGTCACACCCTTGTTAGAGTTCTAGTAAAGTTTATTTTAAGATCTTTAAGATTCTGATGGAAATCTTACAGTAGTGTTAATGCTAGAAGATCCAAATGGAGCTTGATTATTAAACAATCCTCGATTCTGACTGCTTTGGTATCCAGTTTGAAGTTGATTATGGGTATTCGAGGAAGATCCCGATCCCCAAGAGTTGGCATTCGCGTTTCCATAGTTTTGGGATTGAGACTTAATTATTGATAATGTTTCAAGGAACTTGAATTTTGCATGGATTCTCTCATAACTACAAATTACCGTAAAACCTGTAAAGGAAGGACCTCCTGCTTTAGGCCAATTTATCTCGGTTCCTGTAAAAGATATTAAAAGTTGTTAACTGATGAACTGATTATTATGACACCTCAAACATTCTATCAGTTCGCACATTTTTGATATCTCTATGGAAACCGAGATAATTGAGCTCAAAATGGAAGTATAGGGTGACCATCTATTGCAGGTTGTACGGTGGTAGTAACAAAAATACTTACCCCAAATCCGGTCTGTGTATGCTGTCCGTTCTGTGAGTTTTGATTCTGTCCATACTGTTGATATGGATTCTGATTCTGATTCTGACTGTTTATCTGATATTGAGCATTGATGGCTGCGAATAGAATTGACAAACAAGTAACAATTGATAATACTCCTCGCCGGGTTTTCATTCTGAAAAATTTGAATTTTGGATTCAAATTGGATTCTGAATTACAATAAGAAATTAGCATATTGATTACGAAATGTAAAAGAAGGATGACCTCGAAAAAAGGTGTAAGGAAATGAATGAATATCATAATTTCGTTTGAATCTTCATATCTCGTTCGAAAAATCTTTTTGAACGATAGGAACCAAATGGTAGATAGCGGCAAAAAAGACAGATAGGAGGGCGAAAAAACGAAATTAATGGGTTTGACACAATTTCAACACAAAGATATTAGAGAAAGGTAAGTACACACGTAATAATGTCTTCGAGACATAGAGAGAGCCAGAAAGGGGTGAAATGGATACCCGAGGAGGTAAATATTGAGATGATGGGGGTGAGTAACAAGAAGTGGTCTGGAAGAAAAACTTATGTGGACAGGAACTAGTTTTTTTTGTGTGGGAAAAAAGAGTTATGAGCAATCAGTTGTTGCATTATTCAAGATTTCATAATTCAGGAATATAAAAGAAAACGTTGAAAAAACAAAACTTCTGAATTTCGAAGTTGATCTTAAAGTCGGTCTTACCAAACGTTTCTGTTTCAGATAATCTACAGCAGTTGCACCTCAATACTTTATTTAGTTCGCGGAAAAGACGATGTTCAACCCTAACCGGTAAAAATTTTATTTGAAAAATTGTGCAAATTTCTATTAAAATAACAAAAGCACAGTTGCTTCTTCAGATATACAAAATTCAAGTGGAAGATTTTGTCTCTCGGTAAATGCCGACATATTTCCATTGTGTACATGTGTGAGGGATGAGAGGAAAACATGAAGGAGGCGCATTTATGAATTGAATCGACACGATAAAATACTAATTGGCTCCATGTCAAAGGGCAAGTGGGAGAAATCTTCAGAAAGGAGGATGAAGAGAAGAAATGAAACAATGGAAAGTTAAGAAATTGTGAAAGCTGAAGTGATTCTAAAATTTTGGAAATTCAGAAAGAAAAACTCTTTGAAAAAGTTTACTGGGAGAATCATTTCAGCAAAAATGAACATTTTATAAAAGAAGTTCGCTGATTGTCGCTAATTTCAGTGATTTTAACTCGAAGTTTCTAGGAATATGTTGTTTTTTTTCGTTTAAAATTATTCGCTCAAACTGAAATATTTCTACCTCTAAGAAATCCAAAAAAGGACGCCATATTCAAAAATTTGTTTATCTTAGATTTCCATTATCTCCGTAATAGAAAACTACCTGAAACCGTACAGTTAAAAACACCTTTCCTTCACTCTCATCCAAAAAATCGTAGTTTTTTTCTCCAGCAAAATTGAAAAACGGGACTAGAACGTACAAGAGAAAAGAGAAAATCATATACCATCCCACACACAAGAAAATATGCATATGGGAAAGATGATGAGTAATATGTTTCGATTCCCAAAAAAGGGAAGAAGAAGAGGAGTGTAGAATTTCAACCAAAAATATACAGAAAAGCGGCAAAAACGAGGAAACGAAAGGTAAACAATAAGAAAGTGAAGAAAATATGGGGAAGAAAGAATGAAAGAAACAGAGAGATGGTAGAGATCTTTTTGGCGGAGGAGTCCATGTTTGTGAGTCATATCATCAAAAAAAAAATTGATAAGAAATGAGGAGAAGCAAGAGAAGAATACAGATGGACAATTTTTATTGATTGCTGTGCTCCGTTAATGGGCAATTTTTAGAGATTATTTTTGGGGAGAGTGGTGCTTCTGATTTCGATATTGTACAAGGGATATAAACCTTCTATATGGACAGAGAGAATGTGGAAAAAGACAGCAACGTAGAACTGAAATTTGCAAAATTGAGAGCAACTTATAAGAAAAAAGAAACAGGTAAAATTTCATCAAAAATCAATTAAAGACATTGAAAAATGAACAAGAAATGAATTCCTGTGAAAGACATTCAAATGTGACCTACTAACAAAATGTTATTCATATTATCAGCAACATTTTGATAGTTGACCACTTTTTGATATAGTTCACAGAAAGCGAGATAAATTGGCTCGAAGTTGACAGTTAGGGGCGGCGTTCTGTTAGAGTACTTACGGTATTTCAGTTCCTAATGTTCGGGGAAACATAGGGAAATTTTATTCTACTGATTATGGTGATTCTATCATTCCAAGCAGTCGAGTGGAAAAGTATGGCCTATCTTACTGACTACATTACAAACTTAAGAATTAAATACATGTTTAGAAACAGAAATTTTTTTGCAAGACTAGCTTTCGTGTTAAATGGAATATTTTGAGAAAATGTTTCATTTGGAATGTTGTGTGTACATTTATATGTATACTGTATTCAAGTTTTTTACAAGGTTCCTGAATTGATGTATCTCATTAATGTAGTTTCGAAAGTTGTGCTAGGGTTTAGAAGTTTTTAATTCAATGTCATCGGTACAAAAAGGTAAGGACCTCAGAATGGGTAAAATTTAAAAAAAAAGGAAAAGTCGCCTTGTCAGAGTAATGTTAGTCAGACTCTGGACAGTCAATGTAAAACAATTGAAACCGAAAATTCATTTTGTCAAAAACCCAAACAATTTCTGCTCCTCCTAAAAATGCCTCCCGGTCATGTGTCTCCGTGGTGGCAAGGAACCGTTTTGAGTCGTAAACTGTATTATTGTTGTACACGAGTGAGGCAAAAGACGTCCCTTTTCTTCTCGTTTGACAACAAGATCAAAAAGAGTAAACAGAGAGAAATTGACAACAGATTAGAAGAGGAGAGGAGGAAAAGTTTATGGCGGCCGAAATGGAAAAAGGTGGAGGAAAGAAGAGAAAAGCTTCACGGAAAACCAGGGACAACGGCATGTTTGTTTGACAGAGTTGAATAGAGATAAAAAATAGTTATGGAAGGGGAGACAGGATTAAAGAAGCAGAGTGTTAAAGAGCACAGTATTATGGAAAAGTACAGAACAGCAGTCAATTTTGTGGCGCTGGTCTTTTGTTTTGGTGATGTATGGATTTTCGGGGAGGGAAGGGAATTGTAAGAATCACAGAAAACAATAAGACATGTTTCTCTATTTATTAAAAGTAATGAGAACAAGTTACAAAACAGTTCTGTTTCAGAAGTTTCTGATAATAGGACACTGATCTTGAAGCTATTGCGTCGTACTTCTGACTACGAAACGATTACAGCTAGCTGTTACAAAAACGTACAATACTCGAAGTGTGTCTAATTAAACCTTTAATAGAGAAGCACCCCGAATGTTGCAGGATTTTCGGGAAGCTTCAAAGGAAAAAAGAAAAGGCTTAGTCGAGATTCAGGAAAGTGAGTTTTCAAATGACATAAAACGTTAGATAAAGCAGGGAAACTTCCAAAATATTTTCAGCTAAAGAAATGAAATTTAAAAATATTTTTAGCTGAAACTGTTATGATTTTTGTCTGTAAAGTTTTTAGAACTCCAGAAAAAATGCAAATTGTTACTATTTAAAGCAATGGGGACAAATTCAAAAATATTCTGTTTCAAGACTTTTTGAAAATAGGACATTAATCAATGGTTCCAATTGGCTGTCGCTTCAAAAACCGATACTCAACAAAACTGTTCCTAAATATAACCTCTAATAGAGTAGCACTCCGAATGTTCTAGGAATTTCGCAGAGCTACAGAGGAAAAAAAAAAGCAAAAAAATGTAGGTTGGTTGAGATTCAGGAAACTGAGTTTTCAAATGACAAAGCACGTTAACGAATGCTGAGAAACTTCCAAAATATGTTCAGCAAAATAAATAAAAAATTTGAATAATTAAACTGAAATTGGTTTGATTTCTGTCTGTAATCTTGTAAGAATTCTAGAAAAAATGAGAGTTGTTTCTATTGAAAGCAATGGGAACAAATAATGAAAACTTTCTGTTTCAGAAGTTTTTTTTTAATAGGACATCGATCTTCTAGCTATCGCTTCGTATTCTTTAAAGGAGGCGAGACAGCAAAAATTTCGGGGGCAGTTCGGGGGACGAAATCGCGCCGCGCTTATGTAGACCATCGGTCGTCAGGGGCCTTCGCGCCCCCGTAGCTCAGCCGGTAGCGGCGCTGTGCCCCTGAGCTGCCTGTCATGAGTTCAACCCCTCATGGGGGTTCTTTATGCAAAATATCAGGAAAACTTTTTTTTTCATGTCTGGCCTCCTTTAAATACAAAAAATTTCAACTGACAATTACAAAAATGCCCGATACTCGGAAAATTGTTTCAATTAAACCTCTAATAGCGTTGCACCCCGACATCGACCCAATCTTTTACGGTTCCTGTAAAGATAAAAAAGTGGTCAACAAACAAAATGTTTATCAGAATGTTAAAAAAATAACTGGTTATTTAGATATCTTTCAATATCTGAAAGAAATTGGCTTAAAGTAGACGATCAGGGTGCACCTCTATTAGACGGAATTTTGTTTTTTTTTTTGAAAATGAGTAAAATACATCTAATAGTGAACCATTTGACTCAATAGGAAATGCAACTCAAAGTATCCATAAAAACCAAAGTCCCACCCATAAAATCTGAACAAGGTACAACAATAGTATCAACCAGATCTCATTTCCTAATAAAAACAATAAACTCATCTCAAGTATCCGGATCTCCCTCTTCAACCCCACAATTATCCCCCTTATTAGAAACAATACATGCTTTTATATATGGTCCTAAAACCTCAAAATGCGGCAAGGTCATGCAATAGCGAGATGGTATTATGCGGTACAGGAACGCTCATATTTGCTCACATTTTCTTCAACACATCCTTCTTATTCCCATCCAATTCATAACAGTTTTCGGGCGAGTTGCATGTTGGGGGGATGGCCATGATTCATCCCCCAATAACAAACTATTGTATGTATTGAGAGGAGGAGGAGAACAATCATTTTATCAAATATTTGGAAGGGTGATGAAGTGGACAGAAGGGGTGGGATGGTCCGTTTGTGTTGGACCAAAATGAGAATGAGTCAGGCAGGAGAAAGAATGAACAATGACTAAAATTGTTTAAAAATATGTAATTCCTAAGGAGCTTCTGAAATGAAAAAGAAATATTATGTTGCTGGTATAACAAATCATAGCTGTTCAAGAGAAGCGTCGGTGGACGTGGACGAAGGTCCCACAATGAAAACTACAGTAACCTAAAAATATGTCTATTTTCAGGATTTATTTTCTCGTTTTCCCTGCTTTTCGTCAAGTTTTCTGTCATTCTTCCCCATGAAAATTTGAAAAATTAAAATGGTTACAATAAATCCGGAAAAAAAATAAATAATTATAAGTTACGGTATTTGTCGCTGTGGGACTTTCGGCCACCGGTGTTTCACTTCCATATCTCCGATTTTTTGTACCAGAATAATGTTTTCACTTAATCGAGTTTTAAAAAAAAATACCAAAAAATGTTTGTAATGATATTTATCACATAATGTTGCAACATGAAAAATTATTCATAGAAATCGAAACTGATTTCTATTAGAACACTCAGCTCTTCAAAAGAACACTCCAAATCTGGGAGTGTCCATTTTTCATTTAAAAAAAAGAATCAAGAGAAAACGGACATTATAGAGAGATGCAACGTTATCGAAAGTTTATGTTGGAATAAATCTTTATAGCCACACCTAAAAATCGCGGAAAAACTGAACAGGAAAACATTCATAGTATTCCCGTTTAGCAACACCACCAACCAAAAGTTCCCACGATGCCAACACACGAAACATTGATTTGTTTTCTCTGTGGCACTCAAAAAAAAAATCAGTGAAAAAGTATTTGCGTCCATCTCGGAAATGACTCATTTTCTTTGACTAGGATTCCTGCTCTTTGTCCCATCAAAAAGAGACAAATATTAACGGAAAAACAAACAAATGCTCTCTTGACTTCATGCACTATTTCCTGATTTGACCGTATGGGAATCCCCCGGTGGAATGGAATGAGGGATCTTCTTTTTAGGGCAGAAGCAAGAATTGAGGTGTCATGGGAACTGATTTGAAAAGTCAAGGATGAATCAGGAAACGGTTATGAAATCTGGGAATTTATATATGGAAAGAATCTTGGGTTGTTTGGGTATTTTAAAATTGTTCACAAAACTGTGGTTCTTACTACCAAAATACGTTTTTAAGAGTTTTCTGAAACTTTGTATCACTAGTTTTTCAAAGAGGCTGAGAACATTGGTATTATCTACCGAGAAAAGCTGTAATAGAAGGGCCACATAACTTTCGGGTTTGAGCCAATTTTTCTCCGTTCCTGTAAAATGTATCAAAAAGTGGTCAACTGATAAATTGTTGATAAGGATATCAAAAGTGTTGTTTCAGTTAATTACTTTTTGATATCTTGCATAGGAATTGAAATAATTGAGCTCAAACTTGATAGAGTGGTGCCCTTGGAATACTGTTATACCAATCATATACATGCATTATCATTCAATAAGTTGAAAACTTTTGATTTTTGACCAATTTTTACTTCAAGATGGAGGTATCAAATTTCAGTTCACATAAATGTTTAACTTTTCGTCTTCAAATTATAGGATACCTATTTCTCAAACATCCTTCGATAATGGGAGACTTACAATTGGTTTACTGCCAATTTTTAAACAAATAGATAATGTCAATTCAAAATGCACAGAATTAAAAAAAGGAAAGGACTTTTTTATAGACCTACAGTACCTGTCATTGAGATTTACAAAATCATATTTTCACTTAATTTTCGGCCGTTTTTACCAATTTTAGAAGTTCCGTCTGTCAGGTTTCCAATCACTTTGAACATTTTGGAGTATGTTGAACAGACCTAGATTGGAAACATTGCATTCAAATAATTTTTCGAAGACTCCTGTTATTTTTTATTTCTGAAAGACACCCCTTCTTGGCCGGTTTTTGTACTGAGCACATAAAAACGGTGTCTGTCAGACATGGACAAATATCTGAAAATTGTCAAATTAACACTTTTTTAAATGGAAATGAAAATTTTATTTCAAAAAAACAAAGTTCAATAGTGTACTGATTAGTCAGACGTTTCGTTTGTTGATCCCTTTCGCCACGTAGAGGCTCAGTACTTGAATGGGAAAATGGTTTTTCACCGGGGGGAAAACATCAACCAAAAACCCCATAGGCTCCTAGGCCCATTACCGTTGATGAAATTTTCATTAGTTCTTCTTCAGTGCTAGAAGTCTATGCTAACACTAGTTATAGTTGTTTTATTTTTTATCTTTGATTGAATCGTTTTTGAAAAGGGGACGTTCAGTGAATATAATTCAACCTAGCCATGAACCCCAAAACATGGCGACCATTTGGACCTTCTAGTACTTTTTTCGCAATCGACCAATCAAAAGACCAAAAAAAGAAACAAGAATAACGAGGGCTTGCAAAGAACTTCTTACCAGTGAAAAAGTACCAGTGGAAATTATCCAACGAGTAATAAAATTGAGAGAGTGCAATTTCAATCGTTCATTTTTTTTCAGCATGTGGAATTTTTAACTGGGACATGTGGAGGTGAGCGTGACCTAATATTGATTGATTCATAGCGAAACGTGAATTAAAAAATACGGATAAATGTTTTGAAAAGCTTGAAAATTAAACAACTTGACTTGACCTTCCGAAAAAGAGAAGTAGAATAAATTGGTTAAATCGGCACACCAGCCAGCTATTTGAAGCGTCGGAGGCGCGGCAAACATGCGGACTTATCAAATTGAAAAATTAATGCTTTTACGGACTGGCCCTTGTGCGATGTCTGTAGGATCCAAGAAATCCAAAGGTACATCAAAAAGTGTACATCAAGGGTCGAGTTCTTCGCGTACATTGGTTCAGAAGGTTCATGAAAACTTGGGGTGAAGGACGTTGTAGCCTAAGCACGTAATCTTGAACAAAATGCAAAATAATATGTAAAAAATAAATTATTTTCGTCCAGTTGTATTCTGTTAGGATGCAGCCTATTATACTGGACTTTACATATTTGATCTGAGACTGAAACAGCAGGTGTTTAACCGGGATAGTCACATAAAGGTGCAGAGTTTACTCAATAATAATTTTCGATTCCATCTGTTCTATGTATTGCTTGTTAGCAGTTGTCAATCCATAAAATATATACATTTTTCTTTAAACTCCGTTCAGAATTATGTACAAGTAATAAGAAATCACCGATAGAGAACTAGAAAAAGCATGAAATCTGAATTATAAGCAGTTATTTATGTGTAAAACATCTCTCTTCCCGCATTGTTGATCAATTATAGCGTTGTTTTGGAACTCAGGCAACATTTGCACGTCTTCTCAACTTTCTTCGAACTTCTCTCGATTTTCGGAACATTGATGGAGGTGGCATCTGAAAAATGGAATTATGAAGACGTTCTATTGTTTGAATTCCGAGAATCAAATTCTCACCTGGAAAGATTTCAGAGAAATATCATTCTCTTCTAGAAGTTGAATTTGCCGATCAATTTGTTCTACACAACTGCTTCCCTTCTTGTATCCTTTCCAAATTTCTCTCAGTTTTTCCTGCAAGTTTTATCCCGTAAATTCCATGCAATTCGAACTTTGTTCCGATCCGATCTAAAGATTTACGAACTGACAGGCGGTCTAAATTTAAGAAAGGATGCAGAAAGTGTTATCTTCTTATTTGATCTACCTGATTGGAATTCTCAAAGTATTGGAAAGAAGAAAGAGAGATAGGTCAGTCACGCTTGTCGTTTTTAATTTTGGAATTCTCATCAACATGTGATGACTCGTGCAAAAAGGAAAATGAGGAGAATGATCAAGAATCATGGCTCTATGTAGGCTTTAAAGGAATTCCTCCCAAAGTTTCATCTCATTCCCTTGACCGTTGTATAATTGGAGGTCGTTAGTGATTCATGTCTTCTTTTAATGACACTTTGAAAGTTAAGAGAACGGAATGGACAACGAATTTCAAGTGGTACTGAATCCACTTCAACCTGATTTATGGTCAAAAAACAAAAAAAAGCTCTAGAAGTTTATGGGTTAAAGTTCTTATTATTTTACGAGATCTAGATTGTATTACCTGCAAACTATGTTCGAGACGATTGTAGAAGTGTGGAAGTGTACACTCAAACGCTGGTGGGTGGAATTTAGCACCCATTGGAAGATTTAAGAGAAGCAATCTGTAAAAAAAGGAATTTTTCATAATTAACTCTAGGCTCAATTATCTCGGTTTCTATCAAAGATATCAAACATCTGTAAACTAATAAAATGTAGGTGATATTATTTTACAGTTTTTATCAGTTAAAAGTTTATTGGTATCTTTCGAAGGAACCAAGATAATTGAGCTCAAAATGCAGGTATGGATTTGGCTTCATTTAGAGCGAATACGATAGCTACAAAATCTTGAAAATCGTAAAAAGGCCGAAAATCTGCTGAAAAATACGTTTTATGTATCTTGTTGACAGGTATTGTATATAGTTTCAGTTGAAAGGGAATGTTTGGTGCTACTCTCACTTCGATGAAATTTCTTAATTTTCAGTATTTTTTAAGTTGAATGTTATGAATTTCATTTGGATGATTTTCCAACAACCTAATTTAAACTGTTTCTGACTGATGGCATAAACAATTGAAATTACAATTTTTACAATTTTTACAAAATTAACAATTCAAATATCTGAAACAATCACAAGAACGAAAACTTCCGAATTCGCAAAGTTCTTTGAAACCTTCCCCTGTAATTTATCGCAAACCAATTATCTTATCAGACACTCAAGCTATACTGATTAGAACGATGGTTCTGTGTTTTGAACAATTTTAAACGAATTTTCCTGTCCGGCAGACCATACAAAGATCGGGACAATAAAACGAGTGCTAATGGTTAGTTAAAAGTTAACGAATGTGTCATTGAAATCTTTTTGGCAAACGTCATCTTTAGATCTGTCAGAAGATTCTCACCTAGTTTTCCGTTGTTGCTCCCAACAGTCTTTCTCTCTTCTCACTTTTTCATTGATATTCTTCTCCCAGATATCCGAAATTTTCCTTTGGAACTTCTCTGGAAGAGCATGAACCACGGATGGAACTTTGCATTCTTTTCTTGATTTCCGAAGGAGGACCGATTTTTCTGCAGACGTTAAACGAAGGAGAACATTTCTGGTTCGAGCCATTTCAATCCAACAGTTTCCATTCTTTTCGACATCTTGCCAAATTAGTTCTATTCTGCAAGAAGGAAGTATTTTCGTAATTACATATGATATTTCAGATTTTTAATATAGACAACTTGAAACATAAATATTTGTGTTTAAGCTCACTTTGATCGGATTCTCGTTGGAAGTTGCGGCGTAATAGCAGGCATTTCACATGGTATTTTTTCTTGAATTATCTGTCCTTCAAGCCTTCCAGAATCTGTGATTTGCTTTGAAAATCCTTTGGAATATGCGGATTCCAAAAGCATCAGAAGTAGCAACATCAGATAGTTGGGGCCTCGATTTGACATTCTGAAAAACTTAATTCGAAAGTTGAATACCAACAGAAGAACCAAATGTTTAAAAAAGGCGAAAAACAGAAGGCAGGCAGACTCAAACAAATTCATTTGAATAGTAGTGAGACACAAGTCTTCAGTCTCGGATTCTTTCAAAACTGACATAAAAGTAGCAATTAGTCTTGTTTGGAAAATGAGATGACCATGACCATAAGGGACTAGTTTTTTGGGTGTTTACCGGAAGGAACAAAACAAAATGGAAATGAAAATGGACTCGAATTACCCTCATTTTTATATAAACGGGGTAAGAGGAAGTGACCAAAAACCTACTGGTTACTCAGAAAGGGAACCATGAGTTGAGATAATAATCTAATGAACAGAAAAAAGTCAGGTGTCAAGTATTGAGGGAATGTTTCAGAAGAGTTCACAAATCGAGGGCAACCAGGAAACTGGGAAATGGAATGTGTCAGATTTCGAAGGAAGATAATAATCCGGCAAGTGATGGAACCTTCGTCCGCTAATTTGGAGTTGGGCGTATCCAAAGAGTGAATATATGAGTAAACTAGAGAGAGATTTTTTGAATCGGTTTTTTTTTTCGAATTCGAGGTATTCAAAGGTAGTGAAGATGCGGACTAATGTCTAGGAGCATTTGAATTTGTTCAACTGAAAGCGAGGCTCCTTACAAATATCGAATGCCCGAAATGCATCAGGCACAAATCCAAAAATTTCCGTTTCAACTTTTCTACTAGTGTCTAAATATGAAAATTCGATGGTTCTGAGACATTGATTGGGATCACTAGAAACTCGAAATAGAAATTCTATTGACTCAGCAAATAATATTTTAGAGGGATTTATCGAGAAATGGTTTTTTTAGGAAGTTGGCAGTGCTAGCTTGGCACTTAATTATAAGGACGAGCTTGAGCTTTCTAGTCCCCGCGGCTCCGTACTTCTTGAATTTTTTCTTGTTTTTCAGTGTTTTCAGATTTTTTTTTCTGATTCTGCAAAATATCCTGAGAGAAAAATTATAAGAACCTGAAAAAAAACGCTGCAAGAAAACCCAAACTCGCGTTTTCTTAGTTAAGTTTCAGTTTTTTCTCTACTTTTATGTGTATCTATGTATAATACATGTTTTCGGATCAAAATAAAGAAAGAAAAAAATTTACATTCTACCACTGGAATACAGAATGTTAGCAACTAAAATCCAAGTTAAATAAGAATCGACTGAAACATTGAAAAGTTGAAAATTCCTCGAAATTTAAAAACCAAAACACATCACACTTAACAAGGAACTATTACCAGTTGGATAGTGTCGAGAGACCTCACTCTGACTAAATTCCAGATCTTTATCTGTTTTTGAAAAACGGTAAAACTGTCGTCCGTTGACGGTCAAATAGAAGAGCGAATGTCTCTTGTCTGTCTCCTCTCTTGTCCAACTAGTAAATCAGAAGTCAACAGAAGAAGTAAAACCGAAAATGAATTAGAATGAGTGACAAAAAAGGTCAAAAGTTCGTGTGAGGTGAAGACGAAAGGTGTTCTGAATAGGGGAATTTTGTGGTTTTGGAGAATGAAGGAGAAGGTGGCGGTATTTGAAGTGAGTGACTAATTGGGAAGAAGAAGAAGAAGTGAGAATAAAGAATTCACGGAATTCAATGCCAAAAGAATACTTTTTTGGGTTATTTGAGGAAAAATTACAAGAAGAGGGAACATGGAAGAATTCAAATTAAATAAAAAAAATATATATAATTATTGGTGTAGACGGTGGATTTGATGAATGGATACAAACTTTCTCGAATTTTTCAAAGAATTTAATGACTATTCTTGTGGATCAGAAACTCCGATCATACTTTTTCACACTTTTTCGGAGTCTTTGAAGTGGAATGAAAATAAGGGAAAAGATTTGTAGGAAAATCTGTGTGAGTGACCGAGACACGGAAGTAGTCGGAGAAATAGGTGAAGAAGAAAAAAAAAAGTTGGGATTGAGAAGACGAAGTAAGTGCAGGTATAGAACGACACCCGGATCGTCCACTTTGAGCCTATATATCTCATTTTCTGTGAAAGATATCAAAAAGTGGCTAACTAGTAAAATGTTGCTGATATCCTGATAAACATTTTACTAGTTAACCACTTTTTGATATCTTTCAAAAGAA